GAACATTACATCATGAGTCACCTTCATTTTTCTAGCCCAGATCCATTTCATAGGAAATAAGCTGACACCCAGAGTTGAATAACTTGTCTACATACTTTAAAAAACTTAGCCAGGGGAAGAGAAAAGTACAATTTTAACTCATTAGTAGCTAAGCTCCATTGTTATCCCTACCTGAGCCTCCAGGCACATGTGTACCACAGTACACGCCCCCTCCAAAGACACTGTATGGCTTAGCTCTTTTTTTGCCTCGTTAGAATTTTCTGATGACAAGAAACAAGAGAAGTGGACTACAGTCGCCCTTAAATGGAGTAGCTTGGTCTGGTGGGAAGAGTGCTGGCCTCTAAGGCCTAGGACATTCAGTCACAAATACCTGGAATAAAAGATGCCTGGCATACTCTGCCATGAAGCAGTGTACACTGTGGTCTACCAGGTAAAGATGTGTCCCTAAGTTGGTGATAGACAAGGTCGCATGTGGTGAACAGTGGGAGCTACAGACAAGGACAGATGGATGCACAGGGTGGGAAACCCCTCAGGTAGGGAAATCAAGGAAGGCTCTGTGAATGGGTTAGTCACACTGAAGCAAGAAAAACATGAACTTACTTTTGGAAGATCAGAACTTGTTTCCTCCTAAGGAGGCAACTTAAAGAACAAACCCAACCATTTTAGGGTTCTAGAGACTGACTACAGATATAGAACACTAATAACTATTTGTTCAGGGAGAACTATGAGCCTCCAGAAGGAACAATGAGGCCGTGCTGGGAGGGATGGATCCAACGACAGGATGGAAATGCTGTGCACCCGCACCCAGGCATTGTTGCTTAGGAACAAACTCAGTAGAGCACTTGTGTAGCATGTGCAAGGCCCTGGGTCTGATCCCAGAGTGGAGTAGAGGGGTGGGTATGAGGAGAGGAGAAGGAAGGAGGGGGAAGAAGGAAGAGAGAAGAAAATCCAATGTCAATAGCAAATGAACAGGAAACGCTGACACAGGTAACCTGAAGTCTTGGTTCCAGTTGGGCAAGCAGTTGATTGGCTGACAGACAGCATCTCAGCGAGCTCTGTGGAGTTGAGGTAGCTGTCGTGCACCTGGCCACATGGCCCTGGTGGTTTGGAAGGTTGTATGTGCTGAGTGAAGAACAAGGTTGAGCCCAGAATCAAGACAGCAGGGGAAGCCCAGGTACATTCCCACCTATGCAAGAATCTTGACTATAGGCAGAAAACATAGGACAATGTCTAGGCTAAAGTAATACCAAACACACACTGCTTCACTGTGTGTGTTAGAGACTCCAAGCCTCTGACAAACACTGGCTAACCAATGAGCTAACCCTACACAGGGCTGACTCCCAAGAATCCAAATTGAAGAAATCTGCAGGAAGGTGAGCAGACATTGTGACTGAACACATCACAGAATTCATCCAGCAATCATTAAACAAAAAGAGCAGATAAATAACAACAAAACAAAAATCCAAAAAGAAAAACATTTCCTTGGTGGGGGGAATCCAATAAAACCAGAATCCAGCTGTTCCAATAACAATTTAACCATTTTTTGTTTTATTTAAAATTATAAAACATGAAAAGCTACATAAAGAACCTATTTTCAGGAAAAAAAAAAGACTAAGTGACTTAAAGCCATCCCTGTCCCTGCCTTATATCCCATGAGATATCAATTACTATCAGTCCACTCTCAAATGCATGGACCACTGCCAGCTAACAGAGGGGTACAAATGCCATGGAAGAGGTGCAAATCCCACTGCTGGCTGAAAAACACATCCAGTTAGCCACCAACATCCCCACCCACAGCCCTAGACTAGAGAGGACATGTGTCAGTGGGACAAGATGAGCCTAGAAATAAAGCCTTACAGCAGCCATCAAGTGCCATTTCACAAAGGTGCAGAGCAACGCCAGGGGAAAGGGCTGCTCTTCAACAGAGAATACCAGGACACTGGATGTCCACATACAAAAATGCCACTAGGTCTTTACCATATGCGCAAAGATGAACTCAGAATGGATAATAGGCCTCAATGTGAGAGCTAAAACAATTTAGCTTTTAGATAAAAACTCTTGGTGACACTAAATTAGGCAAGAAAGCACAACCCATTAGGGAACACAGGGATATTGTACTTCATAATCCCAAAGTCTCTTGCACTTCAAGACCATAAAACAGGGCACATTCACATCCTAGAGAACAGCAAACAATGTATTCAGAACTCACAACTCAGTGGGAGGTGAAAACAGCCAAAACTGTCAGTGATTAGGGAACTGGGGATAAAACTACAATGGGCTGGTGAAATGGCTCAGCAGGCAACTTCCCACTAAACTCCACAACTTGAGTTCCATCTCGGAGAGCTGCACACATGGTGGAAGGAAAGAAACTACTCCCATAAGTGTCCTTGTCCAAATGCACAATTTAAACTTAAAACGTCTCTACAATGGTCTCAGCTTCCTGTTAGAAGGAAGTGGTGGGGATGAAAGCTGGTACTTTTATACACTGCTAGTAAGAACATGAAAAGTCTCCTGAAGACTGTGGCAACTGTATAAAAACTGTACCACAACTCGGCACTTTTCTTTCTAGATCTATACACACCTAAGAGAAATGAAAAGGTGCCCACCCAAAAGTTTGTTTGTAAATATTCATGTGCCCAAAACTGCTGCTGGAACTTCACACTTTAGCAACGTGAGGCTGCTCTAGAGAATAGCATGCATGAGGGGACACGGAGATTGACATGCAGCTCTAGAGTTTTTCTTCAAATCAGTGCATGAAAATTAGTCTCTTATCTAGCTCTTCATCTGGCTGTAGGATCAATAAATGTGAAAATGGGCAGAGCCAAAAGAAAAGCTTCGAACATTGGAAACTGAGGATTCCCAGTTCCTGTAAACAAAGCCGAAATTGCTCTTCTGCACACAGGAGAAACTGAACTGTTTGTCTCCGTTGGGTGAAAAAGGAAGAAGAAAACAAAGACCTTTCACTTAAAGAACATCTTTATTTGATTTCCAATATACAATATTACCTTTGATTTATATAAAAAAAATCACATTATGGAGGACACAACTGGAAACCAGTTCAGGAGCAGCCAGTGGGTAATAACACAGGTTATACTTACCCACTTATTAGTTTAGGGGAAAATCAGTGAAATTTGAGGCCAGTGAGGGTAAGGAATGGCATTTCAACTTTCAAATCAACATAATTATACTTGGGGATACTGTAGTTAGTTAACCCAGCAAAAATGAACTTGTAAGTTTCTGTCAATAAAGAACTCTCTCGCTTTTCATGGTTTTCTGGTGTGCAATATGCAGAATTCTGTAGCATTCAAGTTACACTGTATGCAGCACACACTGCAAGGTGTCTGCCTCACATGATCCTGTGCATGTGTATTCTGCATGTGCTTAGATTACCAAAGCTTACATGCACACAAAGTGGAAGTGACCTCTGAGTGGGCAGGGCCTAAAAAAGGCAGTTCATTTGTGCTGAGACAAGAGCTTTCTCTGTCCCCTCTTTCTGAATACAGCTTTCATTTCCAAATAGTGAAATCATGAAAAGTGTACTGCCTGTCAGGACTGGCACACTGCAGCATATATGCTAGTAAGATTATATCGCCTAACTGTAAGTTTCGTGAGTCCTACAGCTGCTGGTTGAGCTATTAAACAGTGCCAGTAAAAAGCCCAAGTTGAAGGATGCTTTCACTGGAAAGTGGCGCATACTGACATACTTGTGAAGGTATTGTGAGATTATGAACAAGGGAGAGGGGGCATGCCTCTGGGTTCACATCTTCTCTCAGACTTAAGCTGCTCTAGAGGTGACAGTCTAAGTACTCTACGGGCTAGCAGCAGCTGTGCCAAGGGGTGAACTGGGCACATACCCATTTTGTGTTGTCCATAGTTTCCCAAGATTGTTTTCTGCAGCACCAAGATCCAGAATTCTATTATTTTCTCATCTGAAAGCTCTAAGGGAATAGAGTGGATCCATCCCTACATCCCAGGGTCTTGGTCCAAGGGTCAAGCAGTAGGAAAAGTTAGAAAGTAGTATTTTGATGCCATACAGATTTTTTTTCATGGGCAGTCTGAAATTATGTCACTGAATGACAAGATGAAGACTGGTGCCAAAAGCCTGACCCTCCCACCTTGACTCTTTCATGACAATCACATTATCCTAAAACCCAAAGAGACCCTAAAAAATATATCTACTTTTCAAGATAACAAAATACACAGCTTTAGGTAACAGAGATACATACAATTGTACCTACATACATCTTTCAGCTTTAAAGTGAATTATGCAAATAAAAAACAGAGAAAGGGTACAGGTTAAAGATTAGAGGGTCTTATACAAAATCAACTTGGGATGGGTCAGCAGCTGTGACATATAAAGGTCAAATCCAGACCTTCATCTGGTTTTTTAAGGTTTATTTCATCACAGCTCCACCCACTTATTTGCATACTATCTGTAGCTGTAGCAGCAGAAATGAGTAATAGGAGAGCTACATGGCTTGCAGACTTTAAAACACTTACTGTCTGGCTGTTCACAGGAAGGCTTGCTGATATGCAGAGTGACAAGATGACCTGTGAGGGTTTGGATGAGAAGAGGAATAGAAGCAAGCTTTCCAGGGTCCCTGAACCAGGATGAGTGACTCCTTCAATCCTCTGCAGGCAAGCTGTGTGGCCTAAAGCAGACCAGCCTAAAGTCAGCTACCTAGAGTGAGCAGACAGTATTCCAGGTCTGTGGATAACTGCATATATACACAGCTATGCAGAGTCCACAAGGCAGGAGCTGGCCAATTACAGGGTAAAGAACCCAGAGAAATGGAGGAACCTGAAGCTACAACTATTATACTCTAGTAACTGGCATTTGAGACATTTTAGTACGACTGTTTTTATATGTAAGAAATACAGGTGCTACCATTAGTAGGAAGTATACTAGAGAAAAGACAATTTACAACTGCAAGGTGTATACCCATGAATTAGGGGACAAATTTCTTTAAATATAAAATAACACACACTACTACAAAATATTGACTTTGATCATGTAATTAAAGTGATATAACAAAATAAGAATGCTTTTATTTCTAAAGTAAATATTTTAGTCAAAGATGCATCAGAAGTCAAATATTTCTTTGACATTTCCAAGAGACTTTAGTTATTAACTACAATTATAGTTGTTAGTATTATATAGTAAATGTTTAAAATATATTATAAACCTTTTATCTTTCTCTTTAATTTAAATGAAATATAAAATTAAGAATTTCAGAGCACGATTCATTTTGGGAAACATTTAAAATGGCATGAACCACTCTCATACAGAAAATGCCATTGGAATCACATGATGTGTTCTAAGGCTTGAATGGTGCCAGGCACAGAGCTTGGCACATATGCAATGTTCCATAGCTGTTTGTTCATTCACTCTCTCACGCATGCGCTCATGCAGAGACTCCGGCTAACGGGGAGACTGCATCATAAGGAGTACGGCAAGCACAACCTTTTATCAACAAGTTCGGAGTTTGACAAAGACCTTGGCGATGAAGAGTGGAAAAGAGGAGAAGCTGGGGATCAAGACTTCAAACTGCTTGATTAAAACCTGCCAGGGAAAGGTATGGTGCCCTAGAGGACATCAGGGCCAATATTCTGCAAAAATGGTGTGTGCATTCCTTCCATACGAAGGCATTCGTTCACACACACACACACACACACACACACACACACACACACACGCCAGTTAAAAGATAGGAGTAGGGGGGTATCAAAGGAGCACAAAATGCACACCCACCTGGAAGAAAGAACGTCCAGCTCAGGACTTGTCTGCATTGGGACTTCTTGGTGAAGGGCTCATTCTTACTTTTAAGAACTTCATATTAGCTCATTAATTTTCTAGAAATCCGGTTTGAACCAAAGGGTTATTCTAAAATGAGCAATAAATATGGAAGGTAGAGGGTATTCAACAACCCCACATTAATGTATTATCTGTTGTGCACAATGTGCCCGAAGCAGAAGACGAGGCATTGGCTCTTTCAAGAGGCACCAGTTAGTAAGCATGGCCGGGTTCTTTTCCAATCTTATAAACACAATGAGTATGGAGCTTGAGTACTGAGGTCTACGAAATAAATGCCAAGGGTATAAAGGATGGAAGAAGACAAGTGCTTAAAAAGCAAGCAAGAAAGTAAGCAAAATTGAGGATAATGGTAGATTTGGGGAATATTATCTTTAAAAAAAAAATCTATTAACAAAATACAACATGACACTGGCGAGTCATTTACACCTGACTTTAATGCCTTTGGTATTCAGAGAAGAAAAAGCATCATTGTAAGCTCGAGTTCTCATCACAAAGTTGGGGTGTTAAAATGACAGTCTTAAGATCTTCCTGCAAACCATGCCCTGCTCACACCCATGCCTCTCTCTTATGTTCTAGAATCATGTGAATGACAAGAGTACTAGGTGGGGTGGGAGGTGCTGTTTTGTTTTTTTTTTTGTTGTTGTTGTCTCCTCTAAGAATTCCTGAGGAACCAAGATGGTGCCTTCACAGCACTGGTGTGAACAAAGTAAAAGATGGTTGGTTCCCTGCTTGCTGCTCTGGTCTCTTACTTTTACTTTATCTTGACTTGTGAGTGCTGGTTTTGGAAGGCTCACTTTATTTTTTCTTCTAAGAACTAAAACCTTCTCTTTCTCTTCTAAAGTAATGGCCTTTCTCATTTACATTTTAAAAATTTCAAGTAGTAAAAGATATTTAATTTTGAAATGTGCTAGAACTCGCTCTCTCCATGTCATCTTCTATGAATACTGACCAGTGTGAGGTGGCAAGCTTATAAAGCATTGGCTAAACTCTGAGGATCAGATGATTTATGGTATAAGACGGTCACCTTTACATGTATAATTGCATTGACTGTTTCCATAATTGAAATCTGCTATATGCTAGAAGAGGGCTAAAAAGAAAAGCTACCAACCAAGGAAATAAGCTTTCAAAATTCCAAAGCAGAGCTCATGAATAAGCTGTTTCATCAAATATTCAAATTCAAAGTAAATATTAGATTATAGTGTTCTCAAATTTTATTATCATCAATAAATGATATCTGTACTAAATGAAAAGGAGGGGAAAATTACTTGTATTGTCACAGAAATTCAAGGGACATAAAGTTTATCTTATAATCTTGATAAAATTTTACCTTTTTTTTTTCCAAAATACAGAGCAATAACAACAACAACAACAACAACAAAAACCTACAATATCTGTAAGTCCCTTAGGTTTATGCCAGTTTTAGTGAGTATGATTAATTATATCACACATTTGCCACTGGAAATTATTTTGAAACTATTCTATTAATTCTTTGGATATATAATATTCTTGGAGAAACTTAAAAACATAAAATCTTTGTGAGTAGCTCACACATGTGAGGTAATTAAGTAAGGGACCCAACCCTTGCACAAGGGATGTTGAGACGTTTTGCTTTTGCTTTAGTAAATTGTGAAAGCTATTCAGCTTATTCTAGCAAATGCAGAGCTGCAAAACAGTATAGTGAATTTTGCCAAGCCACATGAAGTTGTAAGGTGAACAACTCTATTAATTGCATTAGTGATTAAAGTAGGTTTCTTTGCTTGATAGACTTGCTGGTTCAGAAGAATAATTTCCTACCAACAAAATTAAGGATTTCTTTAGAACAGGTTTCAAGGCAACAAACTGGCACTTTCCCCACCTTCTGCATGCTACCAACACTAGCGTGAGCTACATGCACACTCCCACACTTGGGCTCATAAGCAGCAGTTATGATAAATACCAGTTTCAGCATACCATATGGAGACAAGAGACTTGAAAAGTATTCTTTGTGAGATCATGCCCCCCAGAGAAAAACTAAATCTAAACAGATTTCAATGAACTAAGTTGGGAATGAAATGGTTACCAGTCTGGTAAAAATCCAATGGAGAGCTTGAATATTCAGGCAGGGACAGGTATCTTTTTCTTCTCCAAGTCTTCCTGCTACTAATGTAGTTGCACTGTTCCTTTGTTCTTGTTCACTTCAGTTTGTCCCATTATTATTAAAGTGGAGGAAAAGGGATTAAACAATGTGTAATATTTGATTTGAAAGCTGCTCCACTGTGGGAGGAAACAAATGTATAATTGGTTCCAAAAGCCATCTCTAACTCCTGGAAGGTGTTCTATGTTCTTGGCTTGCACTAATGATACAGACATTATTTCTCATGTGGCCATCTCATTAAGAGTCAAAGCACATCAGGCCTCCATCCTACATGTACCAGAACATGTTTTGGTCAGGTATAAAATGGAATAATTTCAAAGTTGATGTATCTACAAGTTTAAAGTCTTGCAGGGGAGAGTTTCATCCGGCATGGTGACACAGAGGTCCAGGTTTTCAAAGCCACCTCTCCAGACAATTTCTGTAGTGGTCCATGTAAACAAAACACAGGTAAGAATGGTCCTTCTGGGGCTGTGTTCATCGAACAGCAGGATTACCTGAAAGGGTAGTGTTGGCTAAATGCAACACCGGCAGAGGGTGAGCCTCTGTGTTAAATACCCAGTGGTCTAAAGGTAGAAGGTCATCACCAGAGAACAGCAGGTACAAGTATCTAAAACAAAAGGAAGAGAATCAAGAGTCAGTCAGAACCCAGCAAGAAGTCAAGTGGGCTCACTGGTGACTGCAGAGAAAGCCAGGAACTGCTTCTAAGCAGTTCTGAAGAAGATGCACAATTAGATTGCTGAAATCAAAAAGCACATAATATCAATTGTAAGTTTTGATGACTCAGAGAATCATAAGAGACTTAAAGATTCACATTTATTAGCAAATACTGAGGAAAACTAGTAGTTGTAATTGTATAGCTCTCGGTATGGGAAGCTATTAAATAAGTCTCAGAAGCACTGTCTATTTATAATGAGTTTGAAGGTGAATAGTAGCCAAAGGCCTCTCTGAGAGCTCTATACCACTGGAGTCACTTGGATACCAAACAAGAATCCATAACCACACTCATTCTTTTTTGTTTGTTTGTTTTCAAGACAAAGTTTCTCTGTGTAGCCCTGGATGTCCTGGAACTGTCTCTGTAGACTAACTAGCCTCCTTGACTGTTTTGGAACTAGCTCTATAGAACAGGCTGGCCTCGAACTCACAGAGATCGAGGCACCTTCCTCTGCTTCCCAGGTACTGGGATTAAAAGCAAGTGCCACCACCACCAGGAGTACCACAATGATTCTTACCTTTAATATGGTCAGGAAAATTTCAATCTGAATCCTATTAAAGGTCATCAAAGTACACATAAAAATCTATACGGTCAGGGGTTGAGGGAATATATCTCAGTTATATAGCACCTGCCTAGCATGAGCAATGTCTTGGGTTCCATTTCTAGTGCCACAGACGGACAGATGGACGGACAGACGGACGGACGGACAGACAGACACACACACCCCACACAGTAAGAAAACCTGGGATCTACCTCTTGATGTTAGTAACTAGCACCACTTTACAGAGCCCCAGTGGAGACTTTTTGTAAAGATACATTACTATCTCTTCTGGTTACTGCTACAGTTCTGGATGAGAGCAAAAGCATAGTACAGGTAAAAGGGGATGACATATTGCCTCTAGCATGGAGAAGCTGGAACATAGAGTAACAGGACTTTCTCACTCTTGATCCTACATCTCTAGACCCACCTGACTGACTTACGCAAAGGCTGCCAACAGAGAAGCTGCAACATAACTGGCTGCACACAGCAGGGAACTCTGTACATACAGTCTGCTTTCCATATGCAGACTGTACAGCCACAGTGTGTGGCTCCTGTGGCCCTGGTGCAGCAACACAAGGGAAAGGAAAGGAGAGTTGGACTAGACATGCAAGGAAGAAGGGTACCAGTTCCTGTGCTTTGTCATTTTGACATCTTTGGTGAGATACCTGTTTTAAAATTCACCTAGTTTTTAACTGGAATACCTGTTCTCTTGCTAAGTTCCTAGAATTTCTCACACACTGAAGCTAGGAGTCCATTATCAATCATTTGCTTTGTAAAGATTATCCTAGTGTGTGCCTTTTCTTCATCCCCTCCCCAGCTTTTTTTTTTTTTTTTTTTTTTTTGAGACAGGGTCTCTCTAATACCTCTGGCTGGCCTCAAATTCACAGAGATCTGTCTGCTTCTGCCTCCCAAATTCTGGGATTAAAAGTGTGCACCACTATACCTGGCTTTTCCTTTACCCTCTTAACGGTATCTTTCCAAGAATAATTGCTTTCAATTTTAAGACTATTGTAATGATTTTGCTTCTGCTGTCATATCTAGGAATCTTTGCCTAATATCAGGTTACAAAGACTTTTTTCTCAGTTTTTTTTTCTTTTTAAAGTGTATTTTTTTAAGGCTTTACATTCAGGTTATGACCCATTATAAATTCATTTATGTATATGAATTAAGAAATTCAAATGTTCAGTGCAATCTAGTCAATACCAACTCTTTTCATGACTTTTTGTGAAAATCAGTCTCCATTTATGTACAGTGCCCTCCTTGAGCTCTCTACTCTGTACAGTAATGAATCTATAGAAAACCCTAATACCCACCATTTTGAGCACTGCAGCTTTGATGTAGGCTCAAGTAAGCTTTGGTATGTTTAGATATTGCAGAATATTTGTTACCCTGTAAAGATGTGTCTCTGCGTAAGACACCTTCTGATTGGCTTAATAAAGAGCTAAATGGCCAATACATAGGCAGGAGTGAATAGGTGGGATTTGTTGTAGATTATTTTAAGGTGTGTTACATTTGTTTATGCTCTGGAACACATTTGTTTAGTGATGCAAAGATGTGCTGCTTTGTTTATGTTGCATTTGTTTAACTCTGTGAAGCTGTGATTCTTTGCCTGTCTAAAACACCTGAAGGTCTAATAAACATCTGAATGGCCAATAGTGAGGCAGGAGCAAGGATAGTCGGGGCTGGCAGGCAGAGAGTATAAATAGGAGAAACAAGAAGAACAAAGGAACAAGGAAAGGAGGACATCAGAGACCAGCCACCAGGCACCCAGCCACAAAGAGTGAAAGTAAGATAAATAAGAGAAGGAAAAAGCCCAGAGGCAAAATAACATAAGTTAAGAAAAGCTGACTAGAAATAAGCTAAACTAAGGGTGTGTGTGTGTGTGTGTGTGTGTGTGTGTGTGTGTGTGTGTGTTATTTGGGTTGTGGATAGTGGACCCCAAAGAGTAAAAAATACCAAGAACTATAGAGACTTCCAGAGAGAGAGAGAGGGGGGGGAGGGAGGGAAGGAGGGAGGGAGAGAG